ATTTTGAATGACTGAGTTTATGAAGTATGTAGCAAGCAGGAGTAAAAAAAATGATGAAGGAAGACATAGAAAATAATCGTCAATCTTAACAGCACCAGGCACAAACTACTTATTGAAAGCAAAGTTACAATCAAATTGAGCACTTACAGCAGAAACTTACCAGGAAAACCCACTGAGACATCTACTTGGGATGTCTAAATACTGGTAGTGAATCAGTATTCTCTCTCAGCCTAGACACATGGGAGGGCCTATGCCCTCCTACAAGTGATATGACAGACTTTGAAGATCCTCTATGTAAGGTATCACCATCCCTGGGGAGCAGAAAGGGGATGGAATAGGGATTAGTGGGAGACAGGGGAAGAGGGGCAGGAGAGGGATCAGGGATTGACATGTGAAACAAGCTTGCTTCTAATTAAAAAAAGATAAACATGAAAAGAAATTCCAGATAGAGCAGAACATTCTTTTTAGATAAGGCTTCCAAGTAAAACTGCAATAACTACTAAAACATAGATGATGAAACATCATTGAATGGGTACTAAGATTTGTGCTAGTATGTCCAGCTGAGAGCTGTGGAGAACTTTTTCTCCATTGATGAGTCTCTGGCTTCTCTTTCCCACCACAGACTTTCAACCTGCACAATTTCTTCTACTTCTTATGAAGAGCAAAATAGTTTTAATACCCTTTGATATGCCCTATTTTCCAGTCTTCCTGTTGCAGAGGCAGGGGTCAGTCTGACCCAGGATGGGGATTTGGGAAGACACTTGACATAAATATGCTTTGGTCTGAGCCAAGTCAATTGTTTCCAGACTCAACTTTCACCAATTGCAAACAGCATATGGCCATTTACCAATATAATTTATATTGAAACCTGTTCAAACTCTTGCTGCAAGTTTACAGAAAGAGGCAAAGCAACCCACAGACTGATTCTGTAACTGCTGATTCTCAGACATCTTGGGGCACAGGGTGTTTTATAGGAATTAAGAAACGGAATATCTTCAAGATTCTATTGCTGCAATGAAACACCATAAAAAAAGTAAATTGGGGAGAAAAGGATTTATTCAGCTCACATTTCAAAGGAAGTTAGGACAGGAACTCAAGCAGAACAGAAACCTACAGGCAGGGACTGATGCAAAGGCCATGGAGGGTGCTGCTTACTGTTGCTTCCTGTGACTTGCTCAGCCTGCTTTCTGATGGCATCACTGACCATGGGCTGGGGCTGGGCCATTCCCCATTGTTCACTAATTGAGAAAATGCCCCACAGCAGAATCTCATGGAGGTATTTCCTCCAATAGACTCCTTCCACTCTGATGACTCTAGCTTGGGTCAAGTTGACACACAAAACCAGCCAGTACAGTCCAAAAGGCAGATATGAATGGAGTTTGGCTGCCATCTAAGAGCAACAGCCTTAGAAAATTCACTGAGAATGTTGGATGCTAGATATTTGTAAGGGTGTCCTTCACAGGGTTACAGAAGCCAAATTTGAAGGGAGAAGTTGTTCTGTGTAAATGTCAATAAAGCACTGTTGGCCAATAGGGAAGCAACATAGGTAGGAATAAGAGTCTAGGAGGATTCTGGGAAATGCAGTGAGGAGAGTTTTTGCCATGTGACCTCCTAGGAGCAACAGGCTCTCAGGAGTGCATCCTCAAAAAGATAAGTCCTTTAAAAATATATATTATTAATTATGGATTAATAATCAAGTCAGAACTAGCCGATAAGAAAACAAGCAACAACCAACAGCTTCATAATTAATATAGCGTCCTGTGTGTTATTTGGCAGCTGAGAGAGCAGCAGGGCCCAAGACAACATATTACATATGGTGTCGGTGTGGGATATGAATTTCCACATAGAACGACAAAAGCTTAAAAGGGATTTTAGAAACAAAAGAACAGAGACAAGCAAGCCTTCTTGGTAGCAGCATTTTCTCGTGTGGGCTCTGTTTTGCTAGAGACAAGCAGAGACTTGTGCAGCCAGTGCTTTCAGTAAACTTACTCCCGCCATCTTTTAAAAACAGCAGTTAAAACAGCCATGACTGTTAACAGATAAAAGACACATGGCCAGAAAAACATAAAGAATTACAGTAAAGCTGACTTCAGATGCAGTAAATCCTCTAAAGGTTTATAGTGTGTTTAAAAATATACGTAGGCTTGGGAGAGAAAAAGAAACAGGATAGTGAAAAAAAGGTGTAAACAAAGAGAGAATGGCTAGGTGGTGGTGACACACATGCCTTTAATACCAGCACTCCAGAGGCAGATGGAATTCCACAGAGAAACCCTGTCTCAAATAAACAAATAAATAAATAAATAAATGTAAAAGACATAGAGTAATATAAGTCAAGTAAGATGGAAAATACATATAGAGTCTGAATAGTGTATGATATTGTGTTTTTCAATTGTTCAATGGCTAAGGAAGGAATAACTGATGAAATACACTTGATTATAAATGCTGCTAAATTAATTCAACTTACATATTTTTAAAATGCCTTGATTTCTAAATTTAAACGTAAGTACAGGTTACTTGGGATAAAATATTTTGTTTCTGTTCCCGCAGAAAATGGAAAGCTGTGGATTCCCTCTAGGCTTCTGTGGTTTGATGAACCAAGACCCTTGGATGCAGTGGCCCAGGTGATCCAGCATCTAAAACAGTTGATAAGATGCAGCCTTGCAGGCTACAAAACAAGGTTTCTGTGTTTTGTTATGATCCCCATGTTAAGGACAGTGCCCCCATCCAACAGGAAGCAGTTTGGAATGACCAATGTCCAAATTCCCAAATATTTTTTAAATATTTGTTTTCATTTATACAGGGTTGCTTATAAATGGTAATGATCAGTCAATCTTTTTCTAAAGGGAAAAGAGGGAATATGATATGGAAATGAATTCTTTGTCTGGAAATGGATTTTCATTTATTGATACTAATTTAAGGTCAATTTTGTGATATGTATATTTTTCCTCTTCCTTAAGTATTGTGTTTATACTGATCTTTTAAAATATAATGTATAATTAAGTACAGATTATAGATAGTTACCTATAATAGGCAAAACTTATAGTTAGGTTAGTTAGGTTTTCTAGATATACAGAGATATATTTGGGATAGATAGATAGTCTTCAAACCTTTCAAAGACCTTCAGAAAATGGCATTTAAAATGGTTTAGGGTTTTTCTTGACAATGAGAAATGTCTGCTCCTGGCAGACAAATTATGTCTGAGAGGAAGATGGGCATCAAAGAAATTCGTTGTGGAGCTTGGTTTCAACATGGAAAGACTAGCCATTTGGGCAAGAAACTGCTCTTGCCTGGACTGCTTGATTGTTGCTGTATAAAATGGACATGCAGGACCCATTTTGACAGGTCTACGGGGTTCCTACTTTGTGGAAGAGTCTACTGGACATTCTGGAGGACACAGAAAAAATGACTGAGAAACGGCCAATGCAGATGGACAGTTTAAAATTTCCTGCTTTGCTGAGAAGTCTGCCAGGAACACTGTGGTCTATGGATTGAAGATGGATGTCGCAGTGTTGCAGAGGAACGTCAGGTGACTGTCCAGGTAGAGAAATGTCTCTGTCAGTTTTAGTGTTTATATATTATCCTTCTGTGGTCTTTGATGGAGTTGAAGACAGATAGTTATAGGCTGTCTTAGTTATAATGAAAGATAAGTTAAATATAAGACTTTATACTCACACAGATAGGATAGATGATAAAATATTTTCTTTAAATCATACTAAATGTTCATGGAAAAATATTGTAACTATAGTTCTTGTTTGATGACTGTTTTGTCATATATAATTTGACTATATTAAAGTTAAAAACTTTCTTCTTATTTAGACAGAAAAGAGGAGATGATGGGGGAAGTCTTTCTGTGTATATATCAATAAATCATTGTTGGACAATATGGAAGCAAGATAGGTGGGACCAGGAGTCTAGGAGGATTCTGGAAAATGTAGTGAAGAGAGTTTTTGCCATCTGATCTCCTGGGAGCAATGGGTGCTCAGGAGTGTGTCTTCAAAAAGATAAGTCCTTATAAAATATACATTAGTAATTATGGGTTAATAATCAAGGCATAGCTAGCCAATAAGAAACCAAGTAAACAGCCAACAGCTTCATAATTAATATAGCATCCTGTGTGTTATTTGGAGGCTGAGACAGTGGCAGGGCCCAAGCAACTGCCGGGAAGACAACATGTTGCACAAGTCTTTATACTCTTACCTCTCATACCATCACTGAATGTGAGTTGTCTAAAAATGCTGTGCTCTGTGGAATATCCCCTAAAACCAAAGTGGCCTTGGAGGAACTGACAACTGGAGTATCCATCTGACCACACTGCCAGAAGCTGGGCACTGTGTCTTCCTGTATCTGGGTAGGGATGGTGCTTCTCCAAATCTGCTAGCAAAGCCACTGGGGTTCTTTGGTCCTGTCCCAGATTTTACTGGTGGTGGTTTTGTGTGTGTGTACCTAAGGCAAGAATATTTACTATGAAAAATTACTAGAGTAACTTTGACCCCTCTGTCGGTGGGAAATCCATACCCATACTAAGCATGGGTAATGGGTTTAGAAAGAAGCAGCATGGTTAGAGTAGGGGAGGAATTCTCATTAAAGTGGACCTCAATTTAGATCTTGCACAGCAAATTCCTTTGAGTTTCCTGGGAAAGATCTTTCCCCAGTCTTCCAGATCATGATTAGTAGTCATACAAAGAAGCCGACCCCATACTGATCTTCCAGAGTAGCCACTGGGGAATAAAGCAGTCATTTTCCCAGCTAAGCAACTCATTTTCATGCCCTGGAATGCAGATCCCTGCCAAGGGCCATGGAAGGAAAGATATAAAGACCATTTGTTTATATTGAGCAGTTGATTCCTGCCAAGGGGTTCTGTGATTTGTTCTTGAACAGCAGTTCACTTTTATGTATTTCTTCTCAGGGTTTTCCCCTGATTTTCGAAAGCATTGAATACTCAGAGAGGGGGATTTGTTTTTTATTAGAAGGAAGAAAATGAAACCCTTTCCTGGTCACTTTTAAATTATACTCACTCTGTGTGGATTTGGTCAAATGTGCAATTTGGGCTTACCTTTCCGTAGTGTGATTCTGGGCTGTTCCTAGAGTCACTTGGGTAAGTAATCCTTACACCTCTCCAGCAAAGTGAAATGTATGTAATAGTAGATGGTCCCTTATTGATTCTTGCCATGTTCGTCTCTGGGCAACTTCTTGTAATTCTTTTACTAGTAACTGAAAAGCAGGGAGTTTTAATAAAAAATTAACCCAACAATTTTCTTTGGGGGAAAGATGTAAAGACATATCTAATTTATATGTGTCAGTAACTTGGATCATAAGATGTGTAATAGATTTGGCAGGTTAATAGAAGTAAATGTAAGAACATTGAAGAGAAGAAGTTAGTGGCACGTTTACTGAGCCCCAAAGAAAAGTGATGCCACTCAGCAAACCACCAAGCAGACTTAAGCAGGCTGAGGCCTCATTCAAATGTGAGCTATGTCTGACAGATGTGTGCTTGTGTGCATATCTAACTTCAATCTTATGGAGGTGAAGATCCTACAAAATCAGTGTTATTGTATACGGTTAAATGCATGGGATGCATTTGAAATCTCATTCAAAATAATAGGTAAAATTAGCAATAAGAGTGTTCCTGTAAGTTTAAGTGAGATGCCCCCACCAGGGGAACTGTCAACAGTGGATGATCATTGTGGGCCTGCAGATGCTAGGAGTCCATGTATGCGCTTCTCCATTTAATTTTCCTAAAATTGTACTACTACCTATTGACATTGCAGTAAGTTAGTATAGATATGTATGTCTGTGTGATATGTATTCTTACTTGCATGTATGCATTTAGGCATGGGTATAACATGGTATATGTTGAGTTCAGATTGCATCCTTTGGCTGTTGGTCTTTTCTTTTATCCAGGGTCTCTTCACTACTGCATAAACCAGGGGTACGTGGCCTGGAAGCTATTGGAGGTTTTCTTTGTCTACTTATTATCTCATGGCAGAAGCTGAGATTAGAGCTTGAACTAACAAATACAACTTTTACATGGGTTCCCAAGATCCAAACTAAGGTGACCTGGTTTATGCAGGAAGGGCTCTTAACTCTTCTGGGTGTTTCCCCAACTCTGTAATGCTTTTGAAATAAATGAAACCAAGAAGGCTAAATAGTCATATGAACAATGAATCATTTTATGACTTGGTATGCTATGTCAAGGAAATTCAAACTCCGTAGCACCAGCTGGACATCCAGATTAAGGGACAAACTCCAACAGCTTCTAAGTAAGATGCAGATGCTTTTGTTTTTCAGACTCCATCCCAGCATCTCTAAGTCAAGCCTTAAGATGAACTCTTACACGTGCTGTGATTCAATTTTACTGCATCTAAGCAATCATTTCAATACTTTTTGCCAACTTAAATTATTGAAAAAACACTGTATTTCCCCCTCACATTAGCAGAGTATGAGTTTAACAGATTAAACAAATGATTTTAACTTTTCCTAAAACTATTGGCGTCAATGAAAGCATAGCATCTTTTCTTCTGTTTAATGTTCTTTTGTAAATGACAACAAGGAAATTTGAATTTATAAATAGTTCATTTTAATTTAGTTATTAGTGACAGGTTTTAGTTCCAAAGGTGCATGTGTTAAATAATACTATGTGCTAGATAATTTGTGTGTGTGAAATAAAAGCTGCAGTCATTACACTGGATTTGTGAATTAAAAATATCTGTAACCAAGTCATATTTTTCTTTTTTAATTTAAATTAGAAACAAGCTTGTTTTATATATCAATCCCAGTTCTCTCTCCTTCATCTCCTCCCCTGTCCCCCACTAGCCTCCTATCCTATCTCCTTTCTGCTCCCCGGGTAGGGGGTGAGGACTTGCATGGGGGAATCTTCAAAGTCTATCACATCATTTGGAGCAGGGCCTAGGCCCTTCCCCTTGTGTTTAGGCTTAGAGAGTATCCCTCTATGTGTAATGGGCTCCCAACATCTATTCATATACTAGGAATAAATATTGATCCACTACTAGAGGCCCCATAGATTGACCAAGACTCCTAACTGGCACCCATGTTCAGGGGATCTGAGCTCTCCCTTGTTCACATCAGCTGTGGGTTCCTCTAGCTTGGTCTTGACCACTTTACTCATCATTCTTCCCTCTATGCAACTGGATTCCAAGAGTTCATCTCAGTGTTTAGCTGTGGGTGTCTGCCTCAGCTTCCATCAGCTACTAGATGAAGACTCTAGGATGGCATGCATACAAGGTAGTCATCAGTCTCATTATCAGGGAAGACCATTTAAGGTAGCCTCTCCACTATTGATTAGGTTGTTAGTTCATATCTTCCTTATAGATCTCTGGGCATTTCCCTAGTGTCAAGATTTCTCTTTAAACCTATAATGGCTCCCTCTATTATGTTATCTCTTTTCTTGCTCTCCTCTATTCTTCCCCTGACTCAATCTTCTTGCTCCCTCATGTCCTCCTCTCCCCTCCTTCCCTTCTCTTTCTCCTAACTCCCTCTCCCCCTTCCCCCATGCTCCCAATTTTCTCAGGAGATCTTGTCCTTTTCCCCTTCTCCAGGGACCATACATGTCTCTCTTAGGATCCTCCTTGTTTCCTAGCTTCTCTGGTGGTGTGTATTGTAGGTTGTTAATCATGTGTTCTATGTCTAAAATCCATATATGAGTCAGTACATACCAGGTTTGCCTTTTTGTGACTGGGTTACCTCACTCAGGATGGTTTCTTCTAGTTCCATCCATTTACCTATGCAATTCTTATTTTTCTTTTTCATTTTTGAAACAAGGTCTAATTCCACCCATGGTGGGCCTCCTGTCTTTGCCTTCCAAGAGCTAGGATTATGAGCATGTGCCAACATGCCCCATTTAGTACTTGTTTTCTTGTGCATTGAATAATAATTTTGAAACAATAAGAGGTATGCAGTGAGATAATCTACCACTAACTGAATGAACATTCATAAATTCATTAGACTTCTTTCTGCTTAATTTATTTGTCTGTAAGAGGATATAAAGAATATACCGTGGTGTATAGGTCATATGTAAACTTGTGAAAAATCAAGAATCCTTACATGAGGAGTAAAATGTAGAAGGATAATTAGTATATTTGACTAGACAGAAAACTCAGTAGGGATTAAGATCTTGCATAGGTAAAATAGACATCTTTGTAAAGCTTTGTTCTCTATAACCACAGTAACATGTACTGAACCTTATAAAAATTAAGTGGAAGGAATGAATATGATGTTGAAGATCAGTTGGCTACTGGTCTTACATACCACAAGCACTGGCTTGTTAGTGAGGTCTCTGGGTTCTTGCTTTGAATGTGGAAAATGTAATCTTATGAAGCTTAGAATAGACTAGATTGTCTAGAATAGATTCACACTGAATAAAGTTATAAGAGACAATTATGTAAATCAAGATGCCAATGTGTTAATTTGACTTCTCAAGTACTGAAATATTTGAATTCACTACTGAGAGAATCTAGGGTAAATCAAATGTCTAATTTGGTGAGAGGAAGAGAGAAGAAATTCAGACATTGGATGGTTTTGAGGGAGGTATTATCTGAGACTAGAATGAAAACTATCAGATCTTCCCAGTAGAAGGTAAATCTGAAATTCTAACTGATGAACACTCTTTCCTGCTGGCTTCAGGTCTTCTTGATGTAAGCCATATGGAAATTGCCCAGCTGGGGCTCTTCTGCCCAGAGTGCATTCATTGGAGATCACTTTACTGAGGGTTTCTTTCAAATATAGTTACAATAGTCTCTCTACTCTAGTCAGCCCTCTATTAAGAGATAGCATCTATGCTATCATCTTCTACCTAACCAAGTAGTTCATGTCTGTTTTGCGCAATGGATGACAGTAGTAGCAATTCTACTTTTCCAATTCCTGTTTTAGGTATAGCCTTTCATTGACTGGTTCTCTCTGGTTCATGGAATTCTAGGTTTCAAGATGCTTTTCTAGAGCCAGCATCAACTGCCAGCTGTGTGGCTAAATAACTGTGAATTCTTAGCCTACAATGGTTGAATGTCACCTCAGACAGGCCTCTGTCTTAACTACCCAACTGAAAGACACCAATCAAACTATGTTCATTGGAAGGTAGTCCAGATATAAGACTGCAAAATAATAAATTGGTTTTGGCAGCAAAATTTACAGAAGATATATCTTGCAGAGTAGGTTCTAGAAAAAATTATGTGTTGTCCCCCAGTCAGTCTTTTCCCTCAGCTGGTTAGGATATTTGGTAAGTTTATTTTTTATTATATTCACCAGTTTTTTATTGCTTTTACATCCATATTTACCTGTTGATGTATAATGTATTTATTTCCATTATAAACTAAGTATTGACTTGAAGTGACAAATTTCCTTTGCTCATGGATGTTAGACATTAGTGAGGAAGATAGACCAAGAGTAAGGTAAGTCACAAGGTCTAAGGAAAAAACCAATTAGGAAATAAGTGCACAATGCTTAACAATGAGTAAATTGTTTCAATTAAGATAAGAATCTAGGAAAGTGTTTTATACAGGAGTATCACAATAAAACTTACATTTAACAGAGTTATTCTTAATATTCTGTTGAGAATAAAAGGAGTTCAAGGAGAGAAACCAAGGAGGGAAGTACCACAACTATCCGAGTCTGAGACAATACTGCCTTAGTACAGGGCTGCCTGAATTGTGGTCAGTGAGTGTATGCAATGCAGCACAGGGTGACTATGGAAGCTTATTTAAAACACAAGAGTGTTTCATTTAATTTTATTATTTTTGCTGCATTTATTTTGGTGACCTTGCTGCATAGTCCTCGACTGTGAATGCTGCAGATAACAACATGGTGTTACAATGTCAAAAAGTTAGATGAGCCTAAAAGTCATGTCTAATGAGTATTAGTCTTTTGGTTTTTATTTTTCTTCACTTATCCATGATGTTTTAAATTGTAGCCATTTCATAGATTATGACAAAGGACCTGAGGCTCTAGTGACAAGGTTTTATTGCTCTCAACACCTTAGCATTATGGGCTTCATGATTGTGCTAGTGGTCTTTGTACTGCTAAGACCTTTGGAAGTAATATGACAGTGCCACATGGATACTACATAATCAGTGGACCTGTGCTATG